GGCATTCATTGCCCACCCTGGTTGACTCAATAATCCTTTGCAAAGGAACAAGAGTACAAAACAAATCACAACGATATTGGGGTCTTCTCTTGTCCTCCAGGTGAATTCATGGAGAGTCTTAAGCAAAAGTGGTAACAATGCTTTTGTTACGTTTGAGACAATCAGCTGTGTCCGTTTCTAAACCTTGCACAACTTGAAATTTGAACTGAATGTTGTCTCTGTGTTTTTGTTTTAAGACACGAATGCTTTTTTTGGCGGGGGACATTTTCTCTTTTAGGCTTTTCAATGCCAACCCTTTCTTGGTTCTGGGTTCTGGCCTCATCTGAGTGGCGCTTTGCCCAGGATGCTCTTAGTATTTACAAAGCTGTGAAGAATTCGTGGCTGTTCAGATCCTTTTATACTCCAAATTCCTCTAATCCCATTGTGGCGATCCCACTGGTTGTCCCTTTATTTCTTTGGGCTCCCCAAAGGTAAACACACCTTTTCCCTTCTTTTCGCTGCCACTAGGTATGTCTCCTAATACCACTACAATTCCCACACACAGGAGCTGCTCATATAACTTAGGAATCAAGAGTTTGATCAAATATTCTTTTATTAATGAATTAAATCATAAGGAGAATTAAATATATAACTGTGTCAGGTATGCATATATTAGATCATGTATTCAATCACTGGTATTTCTGATGTTATGCTTATGTGTTCATTCCTGTTTGTTCAAGATATTTTACTCTTTCAATTTCCTTTCTTAACCCCTTTTTAGCCATTCCTGAACTCAAGCACTCTCTCCCCATCTTCTTGTCCCTAATTCTCCCTATCCCTATCTGATTCCAACTGTCTCTTACGAGTTGACCTGGTCCGCATGCGTCCCTCGGGCCGCAGGTTGGACAAGCCTGTTCTAGGTCATAGCAGGCATGTTTGGCTGGCCTTGGGAACTCTGTCTGCATTGCGTGCAGGGTGGCACGTGCCCCCACAATGAAAAACTACAGGTAAATCAAAATAGGAAGTATATGGGGAGTAGGATTGGGGTGATTCACCAACACTCCGAGACAATTGCTCCAAAAGGGTTTTTAGTCATAGATACAGCTCGCTGGATAGCTCAGTGGATTAGGTATCTGCCCAAGGTAAGGTGTTCGATTCCCCCACTGGGCCGTCCAGGAGAAGAGCCAGCCTAGATAGCCTTGGGCAAGCTGCACAGGCCCAGAAATACCTCCAGAAGGAAGGGAATGGGCAATCACTTCTGAGTACTTTCTATACCTGTTTTTAGCTAAACTTAAATTTATTATGTTTAATCCCATTGTAAATCGCTTAGAGTAATGCATTGCACTAAAGGGGAGGTATAGAAATCCAATAAATAAATACATACCTGGAAAATGGGGAAAGGGTTGCCTTATTTCAGAAATGACTTTACAGCACACACTCCTTATTAGTGTTATTATTCAAAAAATACCAAGCACAGTCAATCATACATAAAAACATTGACAGGCATTATCTAGTCTCATGGTCCTCCATTGGGTCTTGTAGGGTGCATACATTTCCTATGTACTGTATGGGGCTCAGAGGGAGAAGCAGGAATCTGGGTCAAGAAGGAAAAGGGGGGACCCCACTCTTCAGGAAAACATCACTAGGGCAGGCTTTGTAATAAAACGGGGACCTCAACAAGAATTAAAACAAAAAGTACTAAATTTCCCAGGTCTTGCGGGGCCGAGGTAATATAACCCCATGCACCCTCCATACAGCTTTCAGACACACACATACAACCAATTTCTGCAGAAGGACCATAAATTCAGAAACAAAAATCTATTTGAAAAACCATCTCGGCAGCCAGGGAATGACTTGCTCTGGATAGACAAAGAGTTAAACCCACAGAGTTAGGATTCCTAGAGGGGCCCGGCTTGGAAGGGGTTCCCCGGGGCAGGCGGGTGGGGGGGGGAGAAAGAGGAAAGGTTCCGCTTCCGGTCGG